GGGGGGGTCTCTGCCTCTCCACGGCAGCCCCGGCTCACCCCATCCCACTTAGGAGCTGTGCCGACAGGAGCTGTGCCGGGGTCTTGCCTTGGGACGTGATTTATCGATGAACGAGGAATTGGGGCAAAATCCCCAAATAAAGCCGCTGCTGCAGGCTCTTTCGCTCCCTGCCAGGATCCTTCCTTGAGTTCCCAGGAGCTGCGCCAGCTCCGGCCCCGCGCCCCTGCCCGCTTGGGTGAGGAGCAGCCGGGCAGCAGCCCCAATGGTTGATGATGAAGGGGATGAAGGGCGTGAGAGGCGAGGAAGAGGAGAGGCAGGGAGGAAGGTGTTGTCTTGCTGGGAGGCTGGAGGGGAGAGCTTGGCATCCAAGCTCCGAGGGGCGGCTGAAAATTAAAATACATTTGCAGAACAGCCAATTAGATTTTAAATTACCAAAATCCTTGACAGTGCAGTCTTTTTGGACCTTAGGCAGACTGGATCTAAGGCAGAAATTCTTTGCAGTGAGGGTGGTGAATCCCTGGCAGGGGTTGCCCCGAGAGGGGGTGGAGGCCCCATCCCTGGGACCATTCCAGGCCAGGTTGGCCGGGGCTGTGAGCAACCTGATGTGGTTCAAGGTGTCCCTGCTCCTGCAGGGGGTTGGGCTGGGTGACCTCTGGGGGTCCCTTCCCACCCAAACCATTCTGTGGTTCTATGAACTGGGAGCAGGAACTGCCGCGGGGGTCCCAGCCCCGTTTGGGATGAGGTTGCCCCCCTGTCCCAGGGGCAGCCTCATCCCTGAGCCGGCCAAACCCATCCTTGGCCGCATCCTCTCGGTGTCCGCCCACGGCTGGCTGCTGTCCCCAGGGGAGTGACGGTGACACTTTCCCCACGCTGCCCCGCGCCCACGCCGGCTGGGAGAGGCACGGCTATCTGCAGACCAGCCGGATCGCTGCCAAAAAGCACCGTCCCCTCCCGCACTGCCATCTGCCCGCACCGAAACCTGGTGCCAAGAGGTGATGTCAACCCCGCTCGTGGGAAAGGGGGGGTGGCGTGGGGGGAAGGACACTGCCCCCCCGGCTCCACAAAGGGACCGGGGTTGAGCCAAGCGTCCCATGGGGCTCGCTGCCACCAGACGTGCCACCCAGCCAGGCGCCGGCACGGGTACCCGGGATGAGGAGCTCGTTTGGGCTCACGGAGACACCGTCAGGTTCGGCAGCTCAGTTTTGCTCCAGGTTTTCCAGCTTTTACGCGATTTTTGCTGGGATGAAGCAGCGGGAAGGGTGAAGCGAGGGGTTGCACACAAGGCTCACGGACGCGGGACCTTGCTGCCACCGGGACCGGGACCAGCAGCTGGTGCCGGGGAGCCAAGGGGCTTGCAAATCAAACTCTTTTGCTCTAATTAACTCCGAGAAGAGTTGCTAAAGGCGCGAGAGCCCCAGGAGGGGTAGCAGGAGGCTACGGCCCCACCGCCCCTGGAGCTGAGCCCCGGCCGGGGGCCCCGTTCCCAACCACCGCTCCCGGCCCCCCTCCTAAAGCGGGACCAGACAGAAACCAAGAGCAGACACCAAGTTTCTTAAGTAATAATACTTTAATAAAATTAAGTTCTTAATGTAATTTAGCACATTTAATACATTAACCCTTTCCCTTCTTTGTTTTCTACAAGTTGTGCAACATCATTATTTTAATTTTTTATTATTTTAATTTTTTTCCTTCTCCCCTTATACTATATGCCTCAAAACTCAGACAACGAGCCTAACTCTACTTCTATGTTCGGTTATATCTCTCTCTCAGGCCTTTATTTTTGCGTAACGCCGGAGAGATGAAAATACCTGGATGGAACATGTGATCGGTTTCCAATAGTAACGATCCCGACTACAGGTTTCCTATGACGTTAAAAGAGGTAAAAAAAAAAAAAAAAAAAGAAAAAGAAAAAAGCAAACACAAGATAATAGGGAATGGGCTTTAAATGGAAGGGCCACACCGTCAGGACGGCCGGGCTAACACCGGGCAACTCTGTGGCTGGCTGGCTCAGCGCGAGGTGGGCAGTACCGTGGAGCCGGACGGTGCGGTAGCACCCGGATCCGGGGGGAAAGCGGATACACACGAACTTGTACGGCGTTTTCGAGCGAGGACGAGAGAAAGCTGACGTGGTACTGGTCAAGCAAAAGCCACGAAGGGCTGGCGGGAGGGCTGCGCTCCCCTGGAAGCCAACTCTGTGGCTGGCTGGCTCAGCGCGAGGTGGGCAGTACCGTGGAGCCGGACGGTGCGGTAGCACCCGGATCCGGGGGGAAAGCGGATACACACGAACTTGTACGGCGTTTTCGAGCGAGGACGAGAGAAAGCTGACGTGGTACTGGTCAAGCAAAAGCCACGAAGGGCTGGCGGGAGGGCTGCGCTCCCCTGGACCCCCCCGCCGCTGCCTGGGTATCGCCGAGATCGGCTGCTGATGGTCCCCGCTGGCTTGGGTTTCGGTTTAACTCCCGTCTGATGGGAAATCCCACCGGAGCTGCTTTGCCGGAGTCCCACCGGCAGCAAGCTGGAGCCTGGATCTCTTTGATACCGAGGCAGAGCCGGAGGAAATCCTCTGCAGCCCCAAAGGCTCCCGACCGCGCAGCCGGGTGCCCGGGGGCTGCTCTGGGCAGCCCTGGGGATCCCCCTGGCTCGCCTGGGGCTGGGATTGGAGTCGGCTCCGCGGCACGGCACGAACAGGTCTGCCAGTTTGGGATTCACCAGCACTCACGCCCGCTGCCTTTCACGTTTGCTTTTAACCCAGGAGCAAATCCGCAATTTGCAAACCAGGATCTGGCCCCTGATTTTTTTTATTTTTTTTTTCCCCCTTTTTTTTGCAATGATCTTGAGCAGATTTCATAAGGAAAAAAGGGAAAAAAAAAAGAAACCCCACTATCAGGATACAAGTTACTATAAAGTGCATCCACTCTCCAGTCCAGGGCATCACTGTACAATGTCAATCACCGACGACTCTTCAAGTATCGAAACCAAAAAAAAAAAAATAAAAAAATGAGGTAAAACAAAAAGGAAAGAGCAAACAGGCCGCCGCGCCGCCCCCGCCGGGAAGGCCCAGGCGCTTGATTCCCACCAAGCACGACCAACCCTTCCGAAGGCGCGGGGG